CTCCGTGGCTGTTTGCATATGTAAACACGCTCCCCTTTCTGCATGTAGATAACTACCAAGAGTCTGTGTCACAATCTGTGGGGTTGACCAGGCTTTATTTAAGCATTTACACAGGCTCTGATTATAATAGTGCAGTGTTTCTCAAATCATAATTCCCGAATGGAGTCTAGGAAGGGATAGGGGAGTAAGTCAAGATGAGTGCATGCCAATTTTGGCCTTCCAAGGTGATCAAAGACCATCAACTACAGAGTCCTTTCTCAGTGGAGGAGGAGACTGAGTGTCTGTGTGTGAGCTTTGAGCCACTTCATGAGGACTGCAGGTTGGGTGGCGGAAGGAAAGATGGTAGTATTGGCAGAGAGAACATGTTTGCTGTCATCACGTGTTCATTGTGTCTCAGTTAAACAGCCAACTTTATGGAGTTTAGGTTGCTGATGATGTTATATGTGGGGAGTTTCAAAATGGATGGTTTCTCCAGGCCAGAGAAAGGCTGTGGGGAGCAGCCAACAATTTTTCCACTGTTGGGAGTATTTCTTAGAAAGGAGTTGCAGTCGTATGTAAATGCATGACACATAGTGAAGGATTTATAGTAGTGTTAAATGGGGGCAAACTAATAACGGTATCCACTACTAGAAACCAAATAATTACAGCATTTAGCATGCAAATGACACCAAATTCAGTTTTCAAGTAGACCACCACATTGAAATGGGAATTGAGAAGCAAGCAGGTATCAGGAAAGCTGAGGAATCCAAGAATGTCTTGGTGTCATGATTACATTAACAACTATTTACATGTGACTCTACCCAATGTCAAGTCAAATAATGATCAGGGTTAAACACCAGGGATTGGTGGTGGTAGGAGCAATCCAGTCTGTTCCAACCCGTACTGACTGTGCACAACACACAACACTGCCCAGCCCCGAGCCATCCTCTTAATTGTTCAGATGGCTGAGACCATTGTTGCAGCCACTGTGTCAATCCACTGGTTGAGGGCTTTCTTCTTTTTCCCTGCCCCTCCACTTCACCCGAAACTGCTCTCTCCTGACAACACATCCAAAACTATGTGAGATAAAGTCTCACCATCCTCGCCTCTAAGCATCATTCTGGCCTTACTTCCAAAACAGATTGGTTTGTCCTTTGAATAGTCCGTGGTACTTTCAGTATTCTCCAGTGCCACCATTCAAATGCTCCATTTCTTCCTTGGGCTCCCACTAGATGATCGACAAATCACCTGAATTTTTCTTCTACAAGAATTCACTATAGGTATGGGATTCAGGCAAAAATCATTTCTTGTCCACATAAATGAAATAACATATTTCTTTGAGGAAACAGATACAATCATGGAATTCTAATTCTACAGAGGTAGAAATAATATACGCAGCATACTAGATCTCTGAACAATTCCTACATCACGTGTGTTTTAGCTACAATGGATGAGTGCTGGCTAAAGGATTTGGAAAAGTAAAAGTACATGTTTAACTTTTATATCTTCAATAATTCATACACTGGCACTCTGAATGTTGAGTGACTCAATCTATGAATTACTATTAGTTTTTAGAGAAATACACTTCTTATTGGGGGCTAGTGACCCATGTACAACAGAACAAAGCATGCCGGATCCTGCAGCGTCTTCACAGTTATGTTTGAGCCCATTGTTGTAGTCAGTGTCAATCCATTTTGTTGAGGGTTTTCTTCTTCTTTGCTGCCTCTCTACCAAACACAATGTCTTTTTCCAGGATTGGTCTCTCCTAATAACTTACCCAAAGTACATGAGATGAAGTCTCTCCATCCTTGCTTCTAAGGAGCATTCTGGCCATACTTCCGAGACAGATCTATTTGATCTTTTGATAGTCCATGATACTCTTTGGCAGCATCATGATTCAAATGCATCAGTTCTCCTGTCTTCCTTATTCAATATCCAACCTTCACATGCATATGAGGCGATTGAAGTTACCATTGCTTGGCTTAGACACACCCTTGTCTCCAAAGTGAAATCCTTGCTTTTCAACACTTCAGAGAGGTCTTATGCAGCAGATTTATTTATCCAATGCCGTGTGTTATTTATCTCTTGACTGCTGTCTCTATGAGTTTTGGTTGTGAACCCAAGCAAGGCAAAACTTCGACAACTGCAACCTTTTCTCCATTAAGAATGATGGATTTGGGGAAGAAACAGCAGGCTTTGCTGTGAAAAAACAGTAAGCCTACACATATGACTTATTTTGGGTGATACCACTCTGAGCACTGAAGGTCAGTTCTTACCTGTTAGCTGACAAGCCACCACCTATCTGTGTGTCAGTCTGTCTGTCTGTGGTGGCTTGTATGTTGCTCTCATGCTAGAAGCTATGCCACAGATATTTCAAATACCAACAGGGTCACTGTGATGGCCCATTTCAGCAGAGCTTTCCGGCGGAATAGATTAGGAAGAAAAGCCTAATTTGCTTCTTTCTGTAAGTTACCCAATGAAAACCTTATGCATCACAATGAAATCTTGTCCAAGAGAGTGCTGGAAGATGAGTCCTTTAGGTTGAAAGTTCCTTCAAATGCAATGGACAGATGTTCTTGTGTATACCAAATGTCATGAAGACAGCTCACGACTGGGCAGCGTTTCATTGTGTTGTACACACAAAGAGTTAATTTACGGCAACAAACAGCAGCTCACCATGTGGAGTATAAAAATACTCGGAATCATAGTGACCCTGTAGGACAGAGCAGAACTGCTGTTGGACTTTTCAAGGCCGTCCATCTTGAAGGGGGGTAGACAGCCTCATCTTTCTCCCATGGAGTGGCTGTTGGGTTCAACTGCTGACTTGCGGTTAGCAGCCCAACCTATGGCCCACTAGAGCACCAGGGCTCCTGATACTCAATACAGCTGTTATGAAAATGGAAGGAATAATCCTGTTACTCATCACTTACTTTTTGGCAGCTTTCGATAAACTCATCGATGGTAACGACCCCATCTTTATTTTTGTCCATTTTCTGTTGCGGAAGAAAAAAAAAAGAATCATATTCAGACTGAGACGATGACAGGTTCACACCTGAAACTGATGAACAGAAGCTGATGGAAAGAAAGCGTGACTGTTTTGTTTCTGGGGGAGGACCTGCTTCTTCGCAAATATGAGATGTTCCCGGGGAATGATGATAGCAGATGGCTTCTTTCAGGAGTTCTCCTGTGCCCGAGGTATATATACTCTGGCCCCCAGTTGTGAATGCTCACGAATTGGCTAAAACTGTCAAAGCATTGTTTTGTTTTTGGTGTTCTATCTGCAAAGTGGAACTAGTGGGGATCCATAAATTCAGTGGGTTCTTGTGGGACTTTAATATTAATAGAAATAAGGAATATGCAAACCCATGAATCTTGCTAGCCAGTGTTCAGTGCAATAGTGAGTGCTCAATACTTGCTGTGCCATTTGGCTAACTAAGGTTTGGGGCAAAACCGTAATGATTGCATTAACATGGAAACTATTTTCTTTTTTGACCTTTATACTTTAAAAAGTTATTTTTTTTCCTTTTTTGCATTCTTCTGGATAAGGTTAGGATTGAGCAAATACCCAGAAGGTTTGCTCTCGATATTCCTCCCACCTGATTTCTGTCTCCATCCCCACCTGGAAGAAAGTCTCCACGTGCTGTCGGGGAGCGTCTTCTTTGAGGACAGGGTATGTGCATTTGCCCATCATGTCGTAGATTGCTTTCATGATATCGAGCATCTCCTGGAACAGGAAAGGCACCCACGTGATGCTTTAGGAAACGCACTGTGGGAAGCGTTGGAAGGGCTTTCCCACCCCCAACTCAATTTCCATGTCTCAATGTCCTTTGCTTCTGTGCGTGCCAGAGTAAAAGCCTGCAGCATCATGAATGAAACGCAGCAGAATTCGAAATAGAAGAACCGACTTTAGTCTTGGCTGCCAAACAAGTGTGTCCCCATTGTCTCACCTAATCAGGTAACGAGTCAACCAAAATCTATTTGCACTGCCCTCGAGTCGATGCTGACTCATAGTGACCTTATGGGATGGGGTAGAACTGCCCCTGAGTGTTTCTGAGACTAGCTGTGTACAGGAGTAGAAAGCCCCGTCTTTCTCCTGAGAAGGAGGGGCTGGTGGCTTCCAACTGCGGACCTTGAGGATTGCACCCCAAGGGGTAACCGTTACACCCCCAGGTAAAGAGTACTCTGGCCTAATTGAATTGTCACATTCCCATTCCTAGAGACTACTCATCATCAGCCTTTGCTTCACGTATCTTATGGATCGATGCCAGCTTCCATTTAATGAGAAGACAATACACTCCACACCATGAGGATTAGACTAGAACAAGTTGAGGATTAAGTCATAAACCTCATTCGGATGTTCACTACTATTTTCCTACTCTGACTTTTAACCAAAGAATACTTCAGAAGAGACTAGTCAAAGTAGTTTAACCCTGAAAACTCCTTGGCGTTTTCATAAATCATTTAATAAAATCTTGTTTTGGCCATTGTTACCCTTCCGAGAGTATAATGAATATTTATCTGATTATGTAGGATATTCAAGTTTATGGTTTCACCTTTTCAATTTTAAAGGTGTTTCCAGCATAGGAATCATCCGAATCAAATTGATAATCCAAAACCAAAAAAGCCAAACTCACTGCCATCAAATCTATTCTAATTTGCATTGACCTTTCGGGACAGAGTAGAACTGTCCCTTTGGGTTTCTGACACTTGAAATCTTAGAGGAACAGGCAGCCTCATCTTTCTCCCTTGGGAACCTTGGTGGGTTTGAACCACTCATGTTGCAGTTAGCTCAATGCATAATCCACTACCCCACCATAGCTACTTTATGGGACTACACAGAGTTCATGGAACAAAGAAATGAAATATAGTGAATTTACCCCACGAACTTTTGAAGCCTACTCCCTCATAGAGGAGCAGTATACCTCTGCAGTTGAGAATATTTCATTTTTAAAATAAATGATAAATGGCTCATAATTTATAAACCATAGGTGAAACATTTTAAGATAAGTTAAGTAGCCAGAAAGTGTGTTAGGCATAGGTGGAATCCATGTCATCATTAGTATATGAGATTGGTAAGTACAGTATTGACATTTAAAGGGGCAGAATGGAATGGAAGAACTATTCCAACACAATATTTTTGAGGCATCTGGGGACTAAACGTTCATCATACACACCAGAGCTATTAAATATTCAGGATATGCTAAATGTAGATATATACTTAATATTCATGAAGGCATCTTTTAGTGACACCCTTTCTGGCCCTATCAGTCCACTGCCCAAGAAATGCAATAAAAGGCATTCATTTATCAAGCTTACTAATGAGCTATAGATGTGGCTAGGCACATTGTCCCTGTCTTCCTGATAGCACAACATTGGCCCAGGGTAGCTTTTGTCGGGGGGTGGGGGGACCTCTTATATCAAAGTCAACTACGGGGAAAACTGATGAAGCAGAGCGAATCACTTAAGAACACTGAGCTCACAGAGTTCATGTAATGTGGCTCTCTGACCACACTTTCACTTACCCTAAGAGTTAATTACCCCATCTCTTCCCTCCTCTTGCTCTGTACATTAAATGGATTTAATAAGCCATGTGATTTGAACATCTTAACTTGGTCTCTGAATCTCCCTCTTCTGGTCCTCCTGGTTAGCCTACTTCTAAGTGTACCGGGAGGCTCTGTAGTTACATTGAGGAGGATTTCCCACATGATGGCAGGCCATTGTGCCACGCCTGTGATTTGCAACAGAGTGTCATTTCTCACTAACCACATTATTTGTGTTTATGTGTGGGAGGGGGGATGCGGCGATGTTTCATGTTAAACATTCTAACATGAGATACTACATTTTCTTCCAATGTGAATCCAGTCAGTCTATTTTCTATTCATGGTGTTAATGCCACTAAGGAACAAGGACGTAATCCTATATGTTACCTATTTGATTAGGAGTGCCACCATGTGTTATTTAGATTCATTCCAGCTTTTTATTGGAACACTTCTTCCCCTACCACCACATAAAATAATTCAGATTTTTTCTGAAAATGAAGTAAAAGAATAGTAGCAATTAAAAAATATTTTAAAGGTATTTAAAAAAAATTGACCCTAAGGCTAGCTGTGTTGGTAAGGTACTTCTTACTTCTTTAGTGATGTAGCCATCTTTATTTATGTCATACAAATTAAATGCCCAGTTGAGTTTTTCTTGTATTGTCCCTCGGAGCAAAATGGAAAGGCCCTTGATGAAGTCCTGCAAAGAAAGAGAAGGCAATTGGATAGGATCTTTCAAACACATACAGTGCACACTCTGACTGGGTAACATTTCAAATGATGGAAGTAACAAGCACAACCCTCTGGGTTTTGACTCCTGTGACATTCACATCCCTTTAGTTAGCATTTATATTTTAGGTCCTCATCTGTCTCAAAGATTCCTTTATAAGCATGAACATAGCGAGACAGGGACAAAACGGAAGATCTTTCACAAGATGGATGGACACAGTGACTGCATCAATGGGCTCAAACATGAAAATAATTGTGAGGATGACACAGGACTGGATCGTGTTCATTCTGTTGCATTATGATTCAACACCTAACAACAGTCTCTATATTCTCATTTCTAATTGAGACCTGGGGCTTTTGTTGTTAACAGTTTTATTGGCATATAATTCAGTATCTCAATTATATTAAGAAGAGTTATACCATCATCACCACAACCAATTGTAGGGTATTTTCTTCTTTCTTGTACTCATTGTTATTAGCTCCTCATTGCCCCACAACTCCCCTTCCCATGCCCCCAAGGAACCATTAATCCAGTTACTGTCTCTAGGTTTTCCTATTCTGGAATTCATATACAGAAACCAACAGGGTGGGAGTTGGGTGGGGCAGGACCTGGAAATTACTAGATCAACACCCAAATAGATGCTTGTGTGCAAATGCTAGTTGCTTTTCCATCTCATGGGTATACAATTCACTGAAAATCTTACATTGTAAGAATTACAACTAGAAAGTATTTCTAATAATAAATATGGACTGGCCGTAGGACAGTGAGAAAGAGATGGCTTCTTAATAGTATAGAGAGTTAGTCTCAGAAAACCATGGGGGCAATTCTACCCTGTCCTATGGGGCCACAATGAGTTGGCATTGGATTGGGGATAATGAGTTTCACTTTGCTTTTTCTTTCCATAAAAAGATGGACCAATCAGAGCCTTTATTTTAAAATGCAGTTATTATTCTTGAGGTGTAGTGGTTTAGAACCATGGACTGGAAAGCCAGGCTGCTGGATTCAAATCTAACTATGGCATCTGAGTGCTTTATGTCTTAAGAAACTTCATCCTTTGGCCTCAATTTTCATACCTCTGAAAGGGAGATAACTATAGGATTGATCTCACACTTTTATTTAGAATTTAGTTTTTAAAATTTTTGAAATCATTTTGTTGAGGGCTTTTACAGCTTTTATAACAATCCATACATCAATTATATCAAGCACATTTATACATATGTTGCCATCATCATTTCCAAAACATTTTCTTTCTACTTCAGCCCTTGGTATCAGCTCCTCTTTTCCCCCTCCCACTTTCGTGAACCCTTGATAATTTAAAAATTATTTTTATTTTCATATTTTACACTTACCGCTGTCTCCCTTCACCCACAATGAATTTAGTTCAGTTGTTTTTAATAGTGCCTGGCAAGGGCACATGCTATGCGTGTTTGGGTTATATAAATGGAGACCTCAGCCAAGCTCATGGTTAGGTTGGTTTGCTTGTGATCCAGAGCGGGCAAACTAACTTGATCAAAAATTGTATTCCTGTCCTCAGAGAAGAAGCTCCATGAGAAGCAGGGCTAACCCCACAGGGTGGTGAGTTCTGAGCTTCCACAGTCAACCATGCTAGGCAGGGAAGAAGGGAAGTCTGCACTTGCCCTTCTGAATGGATTCACTTTCTCTGCATTCCAGAATTTCATGGCCACCGCTGTCTCCATTGCTAGTGATGTTTTTCTTTAGCTTTGCGTACATATTCATCTCACTCAAAATTGCAAACTTGTGGGAGCTGTTTGAGAAATCTGCTGCTCCCATTCTTTGATCCTAGTCATCCACTTTCTTTCCTGAGAAGTAACTGACATTAAAAGTTCTTCTAATTGATTTCAAAGGATTTTTCTGCATATGAGTATCATACTGATACCTATGTAGACTTGGTCAGGCATTGTTCAGATGCCATCTCACAGGCTGATGCACACTTTACATTTTCTCACTTAACGACACATCTTAGGACTCATTTCATTCCTTGTCACAGCTACATCATATGCGTGATTGTACCATTATTCAGAATATTCCAAAGATACATGTATTTGAGGATTCCTAATCCTTCTCATTAAAAATAATGCTAACAAATAACATTATACAATACATATATCATATATATATATCCATATTCATATATACATATGTATGCTGATATATATACTTATATGTATATATACATACAGTATTGTGTTAGTCTGGGTACTTTGGAGAAACAAATCCACAGAAACTCATATGTATAAGAGAAAGTTTTATATAAAGGATAAGTGCACATCAAGGAAACATCCCAACCCAGTGCTGCCCACGCTCACAAGTCCAACATTAACCTGTATGTCTGACACCAATCCACAAAGTCCTCCTCCTCACAAAACAAACGCAATGACGCTGACTGCAAGAGGAAAGCTGAATCAGTGAACTTTCAAGCATCTCAGTGTTGGCAGGGGTCTCCACATGGCTGCTCCAGCACCCAGGGCTGCATCGGGATAGGTCCATGTGGCTTCTCCTCTGGAATGTCTTGCAGGAAGTGAGCCTTGCCAGCTGAGGCAGGGAACAGGCTAAGGCAGCTACACTCTGGTCCGACCATTAGAAAGCAAGAGACCCAAGAACTAGAAAGGTGAGGTTCACATGTGTTTATCGGCCAGGTTGGCACAATAAAATTTAACTATCTCAACTGTATTCAGTTATGTCCACCAATATATTATCTATCAATGTATACCTCTCATTCTCTGTATCCATATATGTACATATCAGTAAGTATATATCAGTAAGACAAATTCCTTGAAGTGGAATGACTAGGCCTATGGAAATGACATGAGGACCATGTCTGAGACCCTCTGGCTACAAAAAGGAGGTTAATCAAACTCTCCATCTGTCCAAGGATGACTCCTTGGCATATATCAGATATGCATCCACCCTCTGATTTCCTTTAGCCTACTCTGACACCACCATGTTTCTTCTCTGTTGGATTGTAAGTCTTTACAAGAGTCGAAGGCATCATCTTTCTCTCATGGGGTGTCTGGTGTTTTTGGAATACTTACCTTGTGGTAAGCAGCCCATTGCACAATCACTACACCATCAGGGCTCCTTTTATTTCCCCTAGTATAAGGATTATCCTATATTCTAGAGGAGAGATTATGGACTTCTAGGCAAGACAGTACAGTTGCTAAGAGATGCATTGTGAGGTCAGTACTCCTGGGTTTGAATTCTGGCTCTGCTACTAGCTTGTTGTGTGAACTTAGCACACTTAACTGCTTTATGACTTAATTTTCTCTATTGTTTAAAAAATGATAATAGTACCTATGAGTACAGAGCCTATTGAAATATTGAGTAATACCTTCTACTGCTAACTGCAAGGCCAGGAGTTTGAATCCACCAATAGATCCTAGGTCCTGGGTAGAAAGATGGGGATGTCTATATCTATAAAGATGTATAATCTTAAAAGCCCTAAGAAGACATCAGAATTGACTTGGTCACTGTGGGTTTAAAAAACCTTTTTTTTTCTAGTATGAATTAGGAGAGAATAGTTTCTAGATAAAGACATCAGATTTGTTAAAGTGGAGAGTCAGCAAAAAAGAGGAAGACATTCAATAAGATGGGTTGACAGTGCTTACAACAATGGGCTCAAACATAACAATGATTGTGAGAATGGTGCAGGATTGGGCAGCAATTGTCTGCTATCGATGGGGTCAAAATGATTTGAAATCTACTCAAAGGCACATAACAAATACAATAGACAGAGCATGAGTATTAAAATGAGGCCTGGGTAAGTGTTTCTGGGTAATTGCTTGGCTGTACGGGTGATGGTTTGAACCCACTAGCTGCTCTGTGGGAAAAAGATGACACTACCTGCTCCCCTAAAGATTTATAGCTTCGTAAACCTTTGATGGAATCAGAGTCCATCAGAGTGAACCCATGTACCACAGAATGAAGCACTTCTCTGTCCTATGCCACCTCACAATGTTATGCTTGAGCCTGTTATCGTAGCCACTGTGATGACATATCTTGTTGAGGGCCTTCCTCTTTTGAGTTGCCACTGCATTTAACAAGCATGATGTCCTTTTCCAGGGATGGTTCTCTCCTGATAACATGTTAAAATATGTGAGAAGAAGTCTCACCATCCTTGTTTCTACGGAGCCATTCTGGCTGCACTTCTTTCAAGACAGATTTGTTTGTTCTTTGGCTGTCCGTGATACTTTCAACATGCTTACCAGCAACATCACTCAATTGCATCATCTCTTCTTTGGTCTTCCTTTCACATGCATATGAGTTGACTGAAAATACCCTGGCTTGGGTCAGGTAACCTTTAGTCCTCACAGTAACCTCCTTGCTTTTAAACACCTTGAAGTGTTCGTGTGCAGCAAATTTACTCAGTACAATGCTTTGTTTGATAATGGACAGCAGGTGTTTTATTTTTTAGTCTCAGGCACACAGAGTGTAAGCATTCAGTTGTTAAGTGAAAGGTTGAAGGCTTGAATCTGCCCAAAAGTGCTTTGGAAGAAAAACCGAGTGATCTATTTCTTAAAGCAACAACAACACCAAAAGCATTGGAACCTTATGAAGCACAGGCCTATTCTGACACACATGGGCTCAGAATGAGTTAGGATGGACTGAACAGCAGCTGGGTATTAGCATGAAATATTATAAAACATCATTTAGTCAGCACAATTCCTGGCTCAAAATGAGTACAAAATAAGATTGTTATTGTTTGGTGGTGATTGTTATTCTATAATTTAGGTAGTTAGTACAGCAATTAGCACCCAGTGTGTGCTTGTTAGAAGAGGAGTGATCTTTCATAGCCTCCTCAACAAAAGAGTCATCTAGTCGTTGCTTGA